TGGCCTCGTCATCGATGTCGTTTGTTGGGGTAGCCTCCTCCTCGTGGTCGCTTTCAACCTGTCCCTCAGGGGTACCTATCATGAAGCATTCACGAGAGGGGTGATGACTCCTCTGCTAGAGTCAGAGCCAGAGGGCGACTCTGGCTCCTCTGCGAGGAGGTCATGAAAAGATTCCATGACGTGTTCAATCACCCCCATGAATTTGTCGTTCGTGGGAGGTGGAATCATGTGTTACGCCACAAGGTGGCTAACGGTCTTCGCGGCGTTGCGAAGACTGAACGGGAGCACTGTCGGGTGCTCCGGATGAGGTGTTCCAGAGAGAGGGTCCCCCTCCGGCGAGCCACGCCATGTCATTGGCGTTAGAGAAGGTGAGGTGGCGTAGGTCCTCCCGAGATGGCTGGCGTAACAGGGAGACACCGAGGTGGCGCTCAAGCCTCCCATAGTCGAGGAGCTGGTTGTTTTGGGGGCATAAGCCCTCGGTGCATGTAGCTGCAGCTCCTCAACCACCTCGTCGACTGTATCAAGGCCGATGGAGGGGAGAGGTTGGATGGCGGTGTGAGCCAATGCCAACTCTCCTCCCACCATGATGATGAAGTCCAGGTCCTCGAAGCGCACATGTGCTCCTGGGACCCAGCTGATGCCGTGACTAGCCATCCGTGGCCTGATGTTAATGTCGAGACGCGTAAAGCCCCCTACTTGGCGTGTGAACTGTCGGTGTTTCAAGTAAACACCAACGAGTAAATTTTGTGTTATTGCGCGTCTGGCCCGGATGGTGTGCTAAAAAGACACAAGGTTTATACTGGTTCAGGCAGAATGTCCCTACGTCTAGTTAGTGGCTGCTGCTCGTGTTATTAGCACTGAAAAGTTCGTAGTAGGGGTTACAAATGGGCGAGAGAGGGACATGTCCCAAGTATCTGATGGAAAGGTCGAATGGGTGCTAAGAGCTTGGTTGTTGCTCAGCTATATGTTCGAAGTTCGATGCTAGTGGTTCTGCTGTGATGTGGTGAAATCGATCCCCTTAGTGGGGTGCCCTGCTTTCCCTTTTATAGGCCAAGGGAGAGCAAGGATTACAGATGGGAGAAAAGAGGAGAATCAGAGGCAAAGGAAGTCCTTCAAGGACATCGGGTCTTCCTTTTCCTCTGTGCGGGCCCCGCTGACATGGCAGACGGTTACAGGGATAGCTCCACGCCGGGCGCATGTCCGCTGACCCTGACAGGACCGTGCTAGGTGTCTATCCACTGACGACATCGTGTCCTAGCATTGTCAGCGAGTTGTCACATCCCATCCCGCCCCGGCGGACAACGCGATGGACCAGGGTGCTGATCAACGGCCATACAAGGAGTAGGCATCACAATGACCGTACGTCCGTTACTATGGATGATGCGAGTTTCCTTCTAGACCGTAGTGATTGTTGTGAGCTTCCATAAGGATCCACGCCCGAGGGTAAATGACGGCGCCCACAACACTGTAAGGCAAATGTCGGCTCCTACAACACTGTTTGGGCTCTGACATGCTTGGAAGGTCGCAAAGCACCCTCCTGGCATGGCGTGATGGTACTTTCCTACAAGCATGTAGGGTACGATCCTCGGTATTATGGTTGACTTGAGTGCCCTGCCTTATCTGCGCGTGTTGTTATAAAGGAGTCGCGCGCAGACATCGGGCGAGGCCGAGCTAGCCCTCGGACGTCGAGCGAGGCGGAGCCAACCCTCAGACGTTGGGGGAGGCGGGACCAGCCCTTGGACGTCGGGCGAGGCGGAGCCAGCCCTCGGGGGTCGGGCGAGACGGAGCCATCCCTCGGGAGTCAGCCGAGGCAGAGCTAACCCTCGGGGGTCGGGCGAGATGGGGCCCGTGGCTGCAGCATCCACCGAGGCGGAGCCAACCCTCGAGGGTCAGACGAGACAGGGCCCACCGCCTCGGTGGTCGGATGATGCGGGACCCAGCAAGCGGTGTAGTCGCGCTCTTGATCACGCGGACGAATCAACGTTGATGGTCATTAGCTTCTCCTCTTCAGGTACCCTAGTATTGGTCCCCGACAGGTAGACCCCATATATATTGTCCATTGTTGTAGGGATAACGGTTAAGAGCTTGTTAATCCGATATTGCTTAAGCTTAATAGGTTTCCATTCAAGGATATATTGTGGAGCATATGATTAGGCGCAGCAACTTACTAGTGTTTTTTTTGAAATTAACTTACTAGGGTCTTGACAATGATCCCCCTAGTAGCTAACTGAAAGTATATTAACTTGTTTTATGGCTCCATGGTTTAACTCTTTTAACTTCGACAATCTATATATAAAGGATTATGTAGATGCAAAATGTAAGATAAGTTACTTGAATCGTCATAAAAAATAGTAGTAATTTTTATCGGATCAGTTAGGGACATTTGGCGTAGTAGTATCTTTTTATTGAAAAAGTGCATGCAATTACTGAAAGGATCTAGATTGCTAGAGGGGTGAATAGCCTATAAAAATTTCTTCTACAAAAGCACAACACTATAGCAAAGGTGATTGGTGCAACAAATGATCCTTGTAGTCTCTACGTACTCTAGTTCTAGATCACCCAAGCAAGCATCTATACAAGTCTAGTAGTAAGTGATTTCTAGTCTAAATCACAACACCACGCAAGACTACAAGCTACACAAGGCAACTCTAGCTAGCTAAACTAGTGAGCAACTAAAACAAGCTACTCTACTCTAGAAACTACAACTAACAAAAGAGCTACTCAACCAAGCAACTACCACACAAGCAAAATGATATGAATGTAAATGCAAGTGAGAGTAGTACCAAAACAACGAGGGCAAGTGATCAATACAAAGACTTATCATCATGGTTCAGTTGCTTATCGGCAACCTACGTCCACGTTGTTATATTGAATACCCAAGTGATGATTTGCACGCTAACTAGCGTGACAAGCTAAACTCACAACTTGTGTGCCGTAAGAATCAAGCACAAGGTCCACCCAATTAGCCACGAGCATTCCACTAGAGTATACCTTTTCAACTCTACGAGGTGGGATCAATACCTCTCACAAATCACCGGTTGGAGGCAGAGAACAATCACCAACACTCCCCTCAACAACCACCGATGCTCTAAGCCGTCTAGGTGGTGGCAGCCACCAAGAGTAACAAGAAAACCGTAGCTCAATCAAAGAACAAGTGCCACTAGACGCAAGACAACGAAGTAAATGCACAAGATCTCTTCCAAACTCACTTTGGATCAAGCACAAGTCAAGAGATGAGTGAGAGGTGTTCTTGGAAGCTCAAGTGTGTTGGATTGTTAAGAATGCCAAGAGAGCTCTCAATGATCCAGCCAACACATATAAATAGCCCCCCTTCCAAAAAAAACTAGCCGTTGGGTCATGTTGGTGGACACTCTACGCATGCACCGGATTGGCCCAGTGCTTGCTGGAGCCCCTCATCGGACTATAAGCTACATTGTATTGTTTGTATAACGTATAGGCACCACAAGGGCAAAGGATTTTTGTGGCAAAAATTTTCATCACAAAAAGTTTTTTTTTGGCCACAAAGCCGCCTTTGCGGCGACTTTTTTAATCGTCACTAGTCGCCACAAATACTCACCTCACAAATACTCTAGTGATGATTTTTTGTTCCCCACAAATGGCCATACTCATTAGTGACAAATTGTACTGCCACTAGTAACGTGGCCATTTGCGGCCCATTTCTTGTCACAAAAATATACTCGTGCTTTAGTGGCAAAAAATGATGTCATTTATAATGTTTTTAGTGGTGATAATAGTTGGCACAACTATACATAATTTATGGCAATATAATTGTCACAATTACCATTGTAAAAGTGGCACATTTAATGGTCACTAGAGACTATATATTTGTGACAAAAGTTTCGCCATTACATGACTTTGTTGTGTTGATGCTTGTTCTCACTAGTAAATCATAATTGTGTCTAATGGTTTGACACAATATGTATGGGAAAAAGGTGGTAACTTGTTAACACAAATACCTTTTATTGATGATGCAAACTCATCCTCAATTGATTTGGCACATGACTTTTATGCTTACTTGAAATTTGAGTGGTAGAATTATGTAATTGAGAAAATATATAAATTAACTTTTTGTTTTTTCATAACAGCTTATATTGATATTTAGACACTTATTTGAGGGCTATTTTAGTTTATTATGTGTAACTTTATATGTGGATAACTTACACACAAACTAAAGGGTAACTTTATATTATCTTTCACAATGACAAATATGGGTAATTTAAAAGAAAAAATGCATTACTTTGCTTTATCTTTCATAGATAGTGAAGGTGGGTAATTTATATGCAAATTTAGGGGTTCATTTGCATTATCTTTCATGAAGATAAATGTGGATAATTTGGATGCAAACTTAGGAGGGTAATTTTAGGTGCAAAATTAGGGGCTTGTTTTATGGAATTTTTATAATAACAAAGGTGGGTAATTTTAAGAAATCATATTAAATTCAATGATTATTATTGACGATGATGATTAAAATCTATTAATGAAATACCAAATATTTCTGATTTTTTGTGAGAAACTGAGAATTAATGTGGATGCTCTATTGGAGGTTTCAATTTGTAATATTAAGATAAGATCCTAGTAATTGTAACCTTTCTTCCAATATTCTATTTAAGCACATGTAATCTGTTTGATTAGATTGCCGTAGATCAAGAGCATCAGGTTACAATCAGGTGGTACACATCTCAAGTCTAGAACTATAAATATGCCCAATCACCATTAGGTGTAATCTTTTGTCAAGCACAAAATATGCTTTGACGCCTGCGCGTACTTGTACAAGAAAAACACACACGCATGGTTCTTCCCCTTTCTATGCGTGAGATATCGCGGCAAATACAATGGCTCGAGAGTTGAGTCTCCAGAGTACCTTTCCCATGTACTAGCACGGGTATTATTAGACTGTGATATTGTTTTTACACAGATTCAGGTAAAAGAAATCTTTTGCTGCGTGCCCGTGACGACGAGCCATCAGCCGAGTACAAATATCAAGGCTTATAGGAGTCTATAGGCGGGTATCTGTCTTTGAACAGCGGCGTGCCCTCCTTTGGCTTGGACCAAGGGTACTTCATGGTCGGATCCCTCGGGAACTTCCTGAAGTTGACGAATGGCGCCCAGAGCATCAACCTGCAAATAACACACGGGTACCATACTTACAAAATGAAACTGACATCACATCTTTTGTTTTCCCTTTTGAGGAAATACCAAACCGAATTCAGTTAGTAGTGTGTAGGTCATAAATTAATAGGTTGCTGGAAGATGCCATGAATTTTGAACTTAATTAGCAGGCCAGGCAAGCAAAATCACTTCACTCTACTAGACCAATGAAAACTGAGGCAGCAGCTTGGGAAGAAGGCCTTGTCCTGTGCGGCTATAGCCAACAGATCACTTGGATTCAGAGCATCTACAATCTACAGAACTAGTGTAGCACTAGAATAGCTAATGCCATTCTGTAGTAATCCAAAATCAACACTTTTTAGATGCCTGTGTCTGGATCCGGGGTGTTTGTGTTCTACTGATCCTGACATTGGACACATCCTTTAACATCGGAACATGTTTTTATGTTTTACTATATACTACTAGTACTAGTACTAGTAGTATTTGGAACTGTAAAAGTGTCACGCTAGCAAGTACACTCACCCTGGGAAGAAGAGGTAGGTGAACATGAACTGAAGGTACGTCTCCACGAATTCGCGCTTGTACCACCTCAGCCTCATCCAGTTCATGAGCAGCGGCTGCACACACACACATGCACACTTGTTACTCACTCAGGGGCTTTGAGAGGAAACCAAGAGCTGAGTAGCTGACGCACAGGAGCGATGAATAAGTAGAAGACGGCGAACGCCGCGATCGGCGGCAGGATCCCTAGGAGGTCGAGGTCCTCCTCCCCGGTCACCGTCGCCAGCGCCGCCGGCGCCTCAACCTACATACAGGCATACAGCATTTGCGATGTCACGTGCGATATGATCGTGGTATAGTGTAGTAGCGTCCAATCAAGCTGCAGGGTCGTGTGGAATTGAGCGAGAGACTCGTCGTACGTACAGCTGCCCAGACGGCGCCGCACTGCAACACCGTCGCCAGCCTCTGCAGCTGCGAGCTCTGCTGCACCGACGTCGTCGGCGCCGCTGACTGCGCGTTCGTCGTCCCACAAGCAAACAGGAAACAAAACCAAGAGCATGGACGATCAGACACCGCGGACGGCAGGAATTGTAGTAGGTGAGATCGATGGAGGTGAGAGGCCGGTAGCAACCAAACCAGGATTGCTAGCTATGGATGGACCTTGTCATGGAGGAGGCAGAGGAGCCTGAACTTGGCGCTGGAGCTGGCCGACTGCTGCGCCTGTGGCGAGGCCGCGAACGTCGCTTGCCGCTTGATGGGTAGCTTCTGCGGGCAGGGAGGCGGGGAGGAGGAGGCCGGCGAGAGGAGGCGCCATGAGGCGGCGGCGGTGTCCATCGGTGCGGTGGCCGGCCACGCGAAGGCGAAGGCTGGTTTCCTTGGGGACGGTTTGCACGGCAGCCGTGGCGCGCGCGCCTTATCTGGAATTCTGGATAGATGACGGTTTGGGGGTATGTGGCACTCAAGATTTTGGCCTACCTGGGCCGTTGGATGGGGATCCAATGGATGGAAGCAGTTGACTTTCCGGCGTCATGCGTCCGTTTTTTTAGTCTTTAGTAGGCGGGCTGTCCATTCCATTCAGCATAGTATGGACGTATGGTTTTCCCACACCTGATGATTTACCTCCCGTAAAAAAAAAGAGAAAAAGAAAACAAAAAAAACACCCTTTGGGTTAGGAGTAGAGAGCTTTTCTTCCCAGCGCAATCTAGAGCAGCTGCCGCCTACCGACGTTGTGCTCAATGGTTCAATCCTGTCGTTTTATTCAGCTGCTTAGAGCACTCCTACCTACAGTACTTTGTGATTCTGACAAGTTCGCACTGCTACAGAACCAATCCTGAGATGATCTGACAAAGGCGCTCATGTGAATTGAAACACACATCACTGACGGAACCGAGCGGAGTAAGAGCGCGTGATGAGAACAGAGCCCATAGAAGCACAAAGTTGCGAACAGAGAGATGAGGGGCTTGTTTAGATAGTTGTTAGGAATCAGTATTTGACATTATAATATTTTTGTTTGTATTTGACAATTATTGTCTAATCATGGTCTAACTAGGCTTAAAAGATTCGTCTCGTAATTTACAATCAAACTGTATAATTAGTTATTTTTTTATCTACATTTAATACTCTATGCATGTGTCCAAAGATTTGATGTGATATAGAGAGAGCGAAAAAACTTGAAATCTAAACAAGGCCGAGAGATCCAACTACTGTACCACGCCCAGCAACTTTTTTCTGTTGCCGAGTTGACATATCAAGCGACCTGCGAGCTGTGCTGTCATGCTGTGTGCTCGAGCGTGGAGGCGTCGGTCAGATGGCTCTTGCGAGGAGCAGAGCCTGGCACTGCCGGCGCAACAATTACCGATGGGAGGCGCTGCCGGGCATGGCCAAGCGTGACCTGACACCTCCAGGTTTGCCGGCCTGAACAGGCGCAAGCAACGTTGCCAGGTGAAGACGTGAAGTGAAGGGACTGCGGCGCTGCACCCTCCGCACTTCCGCAGGTGCAGCAGCGAGCAGCGAGACGACCGCTCCATTTCGCTACTTTTCCTGTTGTTTGACAGAGGATTCACTGCAAGGCGGCAAGGCCTTCTGGTCAGTCGCCTTTCGGCCCGCCACTTTAACGGGCCGGCAAAGCTAGCCTGTCGCACCATTGCCGCCATGAGCGGGCGAGAATATTCGGGCGGCACGAGAGAGAAGTCTGCCCCGCTTGTGCGCGGCCAAGGGAGGATCCCCTCGGAATCGGCATCCTGCGCTCCGATTTCTTGGCGTCTCCCGGCGCGGCGCGACGCTCACGCGAATGCCTATTTATCCGCCTCCTTGCCGGCCGATCGGGCGCGCGGCCACCAAGGCAGCGACGTCCGGCGGCGAGGTGGGCGGAGACCACGCTCGGCAAGGTGGGTTTCTTTCCCTCTCGTAGCTAAACGCCTGCGATCTTGCGGTGCGCCTCCCTCTACAACCCTCCTAGCATAGCCCATTAGTTAGTTTACTTAGAACAAATGGAGGACCTTTGTTTATCAAAAGGATACAGCTGAAGAGTGAAGACTAGTTTGAGAGATGAACGAGCGTAGTTGTTGCTCAAAGTTAATCATCAACTGCACGACTGCATCTTATCCGCAGGGCTCAAGAGCATAAGTGGATTGCAGCGTTTCATCACCTTGGACAGGAACATGATTAGGACAGATGGGAACCCTGAATGGTAGAACCCCTTCTACCGTCTTGGATAGCCTCTACGGTGTGCAGCTTGGCCGTCTATCGCAGCCGGCACAAAGTGAGGATGAAGCTCTCCGAACCACCCTTGTAGTAGAGTCATCAACTTGTGAACACCACAAGGGTGGTAGTGGTACAACACAACAAAGATTGCTGATCCGGTGAGCAAATTTGCAGTAGTTAACTAGTCAACATACACAAGCTCACCATTTGTGCACTAACCACTGTCTGATGCCTTCTTGTAACTGCAGAAGACAATGGCAGCAGATACCCTCTTGCTTGAAACCCATCCACTGCACCATTACATGTACGGTAACTTCCATCAGTAGTAAATCTTGCCAGCTGCTAATCCTCCAATATGGCGATCGATATCTACCTTCCAGTAAAGCTTTATATTTTGTGCAGGTGACAAGCATGCTGGTGAGACTATTGCGAATGTCGTCACCTCTCTGCCCTTCATTGTTCTTGGACTGCAGACTCTAAGGCAAGGCACATCTCGTGATCCTGAATCAAGATGCTTCTATGCTTTGTTTGCTGACAGTTTTTTTTCCTGACAGTTGAGTGCAGAAACTCTACTAACAGGCCCGCAAATGATGCTGCAGGAAGAACTTGAACACCGCTATCTACGCGAATTCCCTGGTTGGGGTGGGAATAGCTTCGAGTTTGTATCATTCTTCCAAAGGAGAGATCAGAAAGTTTCTGCGTTGGGCCGACTACACTATGATGGCTACCACCACACTCGTAAGTCATCATATCCTTGCACTGAGGATAGGTACCATTGTTAGAGTGTCGGGATTCGCACGTCATGGCAACTATGTATTTCATGCAGTGTTTGTCGAGAGCACTTAGCAATGAGAACCCAAGATTACTAATGGCAGCATAAGCATTGCTCCTGCCGTTTCAGCCATTGATGGTTTCAGCTGTCCACACTGGATTGATGGAGGCAAGTAATCCAAATGATCCAACGTATCTTCTCTAGATTAAAGAGAACACTTCAAGATCCATGGAACAATTTGTTTGCAAATCTAACTATCCTAAACGCCAGGCAGTGGCGAATCTAGGATTTTAGGTTAGGGTATCCCTCTCACAAAAATTTCATACATAATTGGGTAAATCCATTTACCAATTCGGTATTAAGGCTTATAATCATGAATTAAATGGACAACGTATCTACTAAATATAGTATAAATAGTTTCAAAAGCCATACCGATAACTGAAATATATGTATAATAGAGTACCAGAGACTTACAATGTTATTTTGCCGACATTTTTATTCGACGCTTTCGAAGGGACATAAATGTCTCAATTATATCATCTTCATCAACTTCAAAAAAAAAAAATCTCGCTCAATGAAAGTGACTAGACAATCATCCAAAAGACTATCTCCCATCTTATTTCGTAGCTTTGTTTTCACTAAAACCATCGCAGAAAATACCCTTTCAACACTTGCCGTTGCCACGGGTAGAAGCAATATCAATTTGAGAAGCTGATAAACCATATCATACACTTTATGCCTCTTTGTTTGAACAAGCTTAACTGAGAGATCAACAATATTTTCTAGACCTTTGAATCTATCATCCCGCCTGATGTCATCAATATAATTATCTAGCTGCAATTCAAGTCTGAGCAAATTATTATTTGAGAAGTCTTTTGGGTAGATTTCAACTAATCTACGTAGCTTCCGTGCATCAAAAGACTCAAATGAGTTAGAAGGATTGAAGGCTTCCATACCAGACAACAACTCCATATTAATCTCATCAAACCGATTATCAAGTTCTTGACTTATTTGATCAATGACACCAATATATACCTCTCTTCTGAAGTGGTCATCATTGGTTTGCTTTCGAGCACGAGCTTTCCTTACTGATTTTCCATAAGAACATAATCACCATCCATAGCAGGAACATCAACACCATGTCTATCACAAAATGAGGTGACCCTCTCAAGAAAATTATGCCAACCATCAGACCTCAATTCTTGTATTCTTTTCTTTGCCACATTAACAAGTGATATTGCATTAAGAATATCTTGCTCTCTTCTTTGCAAACACTCAGATAACTCATTTGTGTATCCAAGAATAATATACATTAAGTGTGCAAAGAAAACAAACTCAAAGGTCTCAAACGCTCCGGTCACAAAATGTATTTTGGTCCAATCATCCTTATATGTCGGATCATCCCCAAGATCAACCAGTACATCATGGATTGATTCATACATAGTAATGATGCTGCATATAGTTTTGTAATGAGATCCCCATCGAGTATCCCCAGGCCTAGGCAAACCCATCTCTTGATGTAATCCAGTTCCAGATTCAATTTCATCTTGATCATTAACAGGATAACTAAGAATGGGACGTCTTTCACCTGGATCATGTGGAAGGCGATTGATGTCATAAACTGGTGGCACTGAAGACGGCTGTGGTGGTGGCGGTGGCGGTGGTAGCACAGGATTTTGAGTTTCCTCAACTACTCTCTCATGACTCTGCTCTTCCACCACAGCTACAACCGGATCAGAAGAGCGATTACAAGTGGCAACAGCTGCCTCTTTTTTCCTCTTTTCTTTATGCTTCTGAAAAATAGATGCAATATTCCCGGTTCTCTTCATAACTGCATAAAATTAACAAAGAAAACAGAGCCAAATATTTAAATAAATTATACTTGCACGATTGAATTCACATATATGATTATGGATCACTTACATGATACGTTTACTGAACAATAGATCAGAATATCCACTCAGATGTTGGGAAAAATCCTCCACCTCGCTGCGTGAAAGATTATTATATAATTTTAGCGCTAAAAAATTAGCAATTGATGTACAAATAAATTTTTAAAAATCCGAAGAACACGAATCTCACCTGAAGCCTAAACCAAACCAGACGAGATCACGAGAACAGTTCTGATCTGATCTGATCCGTATTGGCGTATTGCGTATACGTACTGCCGTAGGGCATAGGGCCGTAGGGCGTGGGCGTCGGACGTCGGCGATCGGCGACTCAGGCGTCCGCGACAGCGATCGGCAACTCGGTGGCGTGAGTGCGTCTGCGAGACGCCGTGACGGCGTAGCCGCGTACAGGCACGAGCAGGGCGAATGACGGAATAGTTGAAGTCGAACAGATGCGCTGTGCACTGCAGTATTGGCTCCGTAATCCCGTCAAAGTGGTCGTCTGGGCGTCTGGCTGCATGGGCCGCGTGGGCCTGAGCGTGACGCTCGCAGAGCCACGCCGCGGCCTGCCTGTCGCTTGCCCCTGACACTCGCATCACGGATGAGTTTTTTTCTTTTTTTTTATTAAATATACATATATGTATTTGCTGTTGCATCGGAAAAACAGGGTATGTCGGGGCATAGCCGGCATACCCTGTAGCTCCGCCACTGACGCCAGGTTTCCTTTGCAAGAAGAGCATCAATTGAACCAGAGCTCAGGATGGCACATAACCTGCACAAAATGTCATCTCTACTGGGAGGTGCGCTGTTCATTGCTGACGATTGCTTCCCAGAGACTCCCTATATCCACGCTGCATGGCATCTTGCTGCTGCGATTGGCATTGGCACTTGCAACAAGCTTCTTGAATGACAGTTGAAACGGTCCTTCACTCCTGCTGATATCAACAACTAGTTGATTTCAGTATTGTCACGAAGTTAGAGTGCACACAGGCAACTTGTCGACACTTGAAATAGCAAACACCGTAGGTCTATATTGGATAGGAGATTGGAAGTTTATCAGATTGATATCAGATACTGTTTTTTTTTTCTTTAGGTGAACTAGGTGTCTAGGTTGGCTTGTGTATGTATTTCTGCTAGGGTTTGTGTAGGTTTTTCACCATTGTTGTGACAATGAGGTGACCTGCAACAACAGGAGTTGTAGTTAGAACTAAAATATAATATAACTGTTTCTACCAATTTTACCCTGTAAGTGCTACAAAAGAATGTAAAACAACGGATGTGTGTTAACCTGGAAAGGAACAAGAGTGCATTAGTATCACAGGCAATCTGAAGGTGGTGAAGATTTGTTGAAGACTAATCCATTTGCATCTATGCCAGTGCTCTGAGTAAAATGTCAAGACTCAACACCTGACAACCAAATAATTGCAGTTCTACTTCAAGTATGGCGGTATACAGTATGCAGTCTTTGTTAGAATAAACCCTGAGCACCCGCTAACCATAGAAGGCAACTTAGACTGATTAGTGGCTAAGTATGGCAGGCGGCATGTCCCTGGATGTTGGGATGGCAACAACCGATCCGGGCATACCGTGATTGTCTCAATTAGTTTGTAACCATGTATGACTGCATGTAATTTCTTTATAATGAAAGGAGAGACACCAGAAAACGCTGCCGCTTGCAGCACCAAATTACTTGTGTTTGCGTCTCATTGTTCATCCTCTTCGTAGTTCTGACAATTGGCATCGGAGCCGGTTTCCATCGTCGCCATGGCATCCCAGTCGCCCTCCAAGGAGAAGTCGACTGATGCTGATAACGAGGAAAAGAAGCCCAGGCCTTCAACCTCGCCGTCACGACGACGTCGTGGGCGCTCCAACAGCCGACGCCGCTCTGGCTCACGAGTCGTGGAGCGCGTCATCGAGCGACCATCCGCGAACGTCGCGTGGCCGATGCTCACGCGGACGAACTACCCGGAGTGGGCGTTGGTGATGGAGGTGAACTTCCAGACGCTCCGCGTCTGGGACGCCGTCGACATCGGCATCGACGAAGACCCTGATGAAGATGAGTACCAGCAAGACCGCCAGGCCATGGCGGGTCTCCTGCGCTCGGTCCCCTCCGAGATGTGGGGGACGCTCGGTCGCAAGCGGACCGTGAAGGAGGCGTGGGACGCCGTCAAGGTGCTCCGAGTCGGCGACGGCCGCGCGCGCGACGCCAGCGCCCAGCAGCTTCGCCGCGAGTTCGGCGCGCTCGTCTTCAAGGAGGGCGAGTCCGTCTCCGAGTTCGGCATCCGCATCACGTCGCTCGCCGTGAACCTCCGCACCCTCGGCGACCACATCTCGGACGCCGAGGTGGTAAAGAAGCTCCTGCAGGTGGTCCCTGAACGCTTGTCCCAGGCCGCCGTCTCCCTCGAGATGTTCCTCGATCTGAACACGGTCTCGATCGAGGACGTCATCGGCCGGCTGCGCGTGTTCGAGGAACGCGGCAAGCCGAAGGAGATCACGGACGGCATGGGGAGGCTCCTGCTCTGCGAGGAAGACTGGGAAGCCCGCCGGAAAACCCGCCGCGAGCAGGAGAGCTCCGGTGGCGGCTCGGGCTCCAACAGTCGTGGAAAGCCACGAGGACGCGGACGCGGGCGAGGCGGCTCAGGATCCGGGCAGCGCGATGGCCGTGACGGCCAGGGCGCAGGCACCGGCAACGCCGGCGGCGGCAAGCCGCCGCGCGGTGACCGCTGTGATTCCTGCGGGAAGACGGGCCACTGGGCCAAGGATTGCCGTGGCAAGAAGAAAAAGGCCGCGGCCCATGTGGCCCAAGTCGAGGAGGAAGAGGATCGGGCCCTCATGTATGTCTCCGTTGAGTCTGAGGTAAACCAGTCGCCCGATTTCGTTCCCCATTCCACACCACCGCTGCCGCCGCCGCGCGCCGTCAATCCTCCACCGCGCGTCCACCTCGTCGAGCAGAAGGTCCTTCTCCATCTTAGTGATGAAGAGAGGAAGGACGTGGGGCCCCGCCGCTGGGTCCTCGACACCGGCGCGACGAATCACATGTCCGGGTCGTGCGCTGTCTTCGCCGAGTTGGACAAGGGCGTCACCGGCACCGTCAAATTCGGCGACGGGTCGGTGGTCAACATCGAAGGAAGGGACGGGTCCTCTTCGCTGCAAGATCGGCGAACACCGCCCGCCGGAAGAGTCTACTTCATCCCGCGGCTGACCACCAACATCGTCAGTCTCGGGCAGATGGATGAGGACGGCTTCAAGGTGGACATCGAGGCCGGGATCCTGCGCCTCTACGATCTGCAGCGACGCCTGCTCACCAAGGTACACCGGTCTCCAAGCCGCCTCTACTACCTCGACATGACCATCGCCGCCCCGGTGTGCCTCACCGCGCGTGTCGGCGACGTCGCCTGGAGGTGGCATGAGAGGTTCGGGCACCTGAATTTCAAGTCACTGCGGAAGATGAGCCGCGGTGAGATGGTGAAGGGCCTGCCGGAGATCGACCACATCGAGCAAATCTGCGAGGACTGCGTTCTCGCCAAGCAGAAGCGAACGCCGTTCCCGCAGGCTGCCAAGTTCCGGGCGACGGAGGAGCTCGAGCTGGTCCACGGAGACCTCTGCGGGCCGATCACCCCGTCGACACCGGCCGGGAACGCCTACTTCCTGCTCCTGGTCGACGACATGAGCAGGTATATGTGGCTTACCCTGTTGCGCTCCAAGGCTGATGCACCGGCGGCCATCATGATGTTCCAGGCGAAGGTGGAACGCGAAACCGGCAAGAAGCTGAAGGTCCTCCGCACCGATAACGGTGGCGAATTCACCTCGGTGCAATTTGGTGAGTACTGTGCAGGTGAGGGCATCCATCGGCAACACTCCGCGCCACATTCACCACAGCAAAACGGTGTTGTGGAACGGCGGAACCAGATGGTCGTGAACACGGCGCGGAGCATCTTGCGTGCACGGGTATGCCGGGCTTCTTCGGGAGAGGCGGTGCACACGGTGTGTATCTCTCTCAACCGTCGCCAACGGCCGCTCTCGACGGCCTGACACCGTACCAGGCGTGGTACGGGAAGAAACCACCCGTGCACTTCCTGAGAGTGTTCGGTTGCGTCGCCTACATCAAGCAACTTCGCCCACACCCGTCCAAGCTCGAGGATCGCGGCCGGAAGGTGGTCTTCATCGGATACGAAGAGGGAGCGAAGGCGTACCGTTTCTACGACCCCGCCACGGAGCATGTCCGGGTCGCGCGCGACGTCGTGTTCGACGAGAACGCGCGCTGGGACTGGGGGAGCACCGCGCCGGGCGACAGCTCGGTGCCGTTCACCATCGAGGAGGAGTACGAGCTGCGTCGTCAGGCACCGGCACCCTCGACACCGCTGCACGCCACGAGCCCGACGCTGTCTGTGCCCAGTGCACCGCCGCACACTGGGAGCACGTCACCATCAGCCTCGAGAACGGGCTCACCAGCTCTAGGCTCGACGTCCAGGGAGGCGCCCTCACCAACGACTGCCGCGCCGAACGCCACCAAGGTGACACAGGTGGAGTTCGCAACGCCGCTGAGCGCCGACCCGAACCTCGACGCGGACGACGACGAGGACCTGGAGCATCGGTACAGGACACTCGAGAACGTCCTTGGCACGAACACCGTGCCCGGGCGTGCTCACCGCGACGTCGAGGAAGCTGAACTGCACAATGTCAGCGTGGAGGAGCCCAAGTCCTTCAAGGATGCTGACGGCGATCCGAACTGGAACGCAGCAATGGAGGAGGAGCTCAAGTCGATCCGCGACAACAACACTTGGTCGCTGGCTGATCTTCCTCGAGACCAGCACGCCATCGGCCTCAAGTGGGTATATAAGGTGAAGCGCGATGAGAACGGCGCCATCGTCAAGTACAAGGCGCGTCTGGTGGCCAAGGGGTACGTGCAGCGCCCCGGCATCGACTTTGATGAGGTGTTACGCCCCGCCGCGACGGCCGAGTCCGTCTGGGCTGCCGCCGCCATTGCTTTGCGCGCCGGTGGGGCGCCCACCACATGGACGCCAAATCGGCGTTCTTGAATGGCGAACTCCAGGAGGAGGTCTACGTCCAGCAACCTCCCGGTTTTATCGACAGCAGGAACAAGCACAAGGTGCTTCGTCTTCACAAGGCCCTGTACGGACTTCGTCAAGCTCCAAGGGCCTGGAACCAGAAGCTCGACGCCTCACTGCTTGGGCTCGACTTCACTCGCTGCGTGGATGAGCACGGTATGTATGTTCGTGGCAAGGGCACTGGGCGCCTGATCGTAAATGCCTACGCGTTGATGATTTAATCATCACTGGAGGCGATGCGGGAGCTGTCAACAAGTTCAAGGCTCAGATGATGAGCACGTTCCGCATGAGTGACCTTGGGTTACTCTCATACTACCTCGGCTTGGAAGTGTCGCAGGGAGCAGCCGGGATCACGATCCGGCAGACAGCATACGCCGCCAAGATCCTCGAGAAGGCAGGCATGGTCGGCTGCAACGCCAGTGCCACGCCCATGGAGCCCAAGTTGAAGCTGCTCAAGGAGGGAACCACGCCAAGCGTGGATGCAACAGAGTACCGCAGCATCATTGGAAGCCTCAGGTACCTGTGCAATTCCAGACCAGACTTGGCATACTCAGTCGGCTATCTCAGCCGGTTCATGGAAGCACCACGCCAGGAACACCTCGCTGCGGTCAAGCGTGTTCTTCGGTATGTTGCTGGAACACAACAGTGGGGTTTGCACTATCATCCAGGCAAGAAGAACACCGGCGTTCCTAAGTTGCTGGGTTATTCTGACAGCGACCTGGCAGGCGACGTGAATGACCGGAAGAGCACCAGTGGGCTGATCTTCTTCCTGGCAGGAGGTCCGATTGCTTGGCAGTCGGCAAAGCAGAGGGTGGTTGCTCTGTCTTCATGCGAAGCTGAGTACATTGCCGCTGCTGGAGCTGCGTGTGAGGCGGTCTGGCTGGCACGACTGCTGGCTGAGCTCATCGGAGGAGCTGTCCTCGCACCCAAGCTCAAAGTGGACAACAAGTCCGCCATCACATTGGTGAAGAATCCTGTACACCATGACCGGAGCAAGCACATAGATGTAAAGTTCCATTTCATCCGGGATTGCTGTGACAGGAAGCTGATCGACGTCGAGTTCGTCGGTATTGAGTTTCAGCTGGGCGACATCCTGACAAAGGCGCTCGGTCGAAACCGGTTTCAAGAGCTCCGCGATGAGATTGGCATGGAGAAGTTAGAGTAGTTGCTCAAGGGCTTAGGAGGAGATTGTTAGAATAAACCCTGAGCACCCGCTAACCATAGAAGGCAACTTAGACTGATTAGTGGCTAAGTATGGCAGGCGGCATGTCCCTGGATGTTGGGATGGCAACAACCGATCCGGGCATACCGTGATTGTCTCAATTAGTTTGTAACCATGTATGACTGCATGTAATTTCTTTATAATGAAAGGAGAGACACCAGAAAACGCTGCCGCTTGCAGCACCAAATTACTTGTGTTTGCGTCTCATTGTTCATCCTCTTCGTAGTTCTGACAGTCTTGTGAAAGCTTTTGGCTTTTGAGTCACGGATCAACCAGTTGGGCTTGTGCTAACACCATGCTGGACTCATTCTGATTCACCCAGCTTCTGCCGGCAGGTTTCTCAGCATTCAGTGCAGCCACTCTTTCCCTCACCATCCGAGCCTGCTCCCACTGTCCACCGCCAGCATACATGTTGGACAGCAGCACTAGGTACCCAGCCGCTCGTTCTGGCTGCAGTTCAACTAATCTATCAGTCACTTTAGCTGCGAGCTCAAGGTTGCCCTCCCTTCTACATCCACTCAGGATTGCACCCCACGCACCCTCGTTTGGCTGGAATGGCATTTTTTCCACAAGCTCAAGTGCTTCATTCAACCGTCTCCAGCGACAGAGCATGTCAACCATGCATCCATAGTGTTGTATCTCTGGATTTATCCCATAAACTCTTTCCATACTCTCAAAGTACCACCGTGCATCATCAATCCTCCCTGCATGACTGCACGCCCGCAGAACTGCGAGCATCGTGGCACCATCAGGACGATCCTGCATTCTGTGGAACAAGTCCAGCGCCTCCTGGGGGTGACCATGCATCGCAAGACCCGAGATCATAGTTGTCCAAGAAACAGTGCTCCGCCTTGGCATCATCCCAAACAAGCGGCGTGCATCCTCCACAACACCACACTTCACATACATATGGATGAGAGCATTGTCCAGCAACACTGTCCTCTGCTGCCACCCTTCCAAGTCCACACGTGCATGCACCCACCGCCCAAGCTCCAGGCCACCCAGCTCAGCACAGGCCGTCAGCAAGGCAACCATGGTCACTGCGTCATCCTTGACCCGTGCCTTTCTCATCCTCCAGAACAGCTCCACCGCCTCTGCTGCCCTCCCAGCATTCGCGCACCCACCGATCACTGTCGTCCATCCCACCGCGTCCCTCCTGGGCATCTCGCCAAAGAACCGCAGCGCGGCGTCCACCATGTTGGTTTGATCTCCCAACCACAGTGGCCCAACGGCCACTTGGGCCTTGACCTCGCGTCCTGATCGGGGGCGCCCAGTCCATCTATGGCTGGCGGGCCCCGTCACACTGCGCATTAAACAGAGGTGGGGTCGGCGGCTCTCAGTACGAGGTTCGCCTGAGCCGTACGCCCCACCTAGAAACCCTACTCCGATCTAACAGAGGGGCGCAGCCAGTGACGGAAAGCACCGCCGCCGCCACTGCACTGCGCCACCACGGTCTTCACCGCTACTCCGACCGTCGCTGCCATGTGCAGATCTTCATCGACGAACCAGCGAAGGCAGGGAGCTCCTCCGACGGTCAGATGCTCCTACTCTCTCTGTCTCCTACTCCCAAAGGAAGCTCTAGGTGTATTTGATTCAACTGATAAAGAAATCACCCACTGGATCCGCATCTAGATGATCCAAAGTAATTAACATTGGTATCAGAGCCGGTTTCCCTAGGCGTGGATCTTGTCAGGGGCGAGAAAACGATTAGAAAAGAAAAGATAGGTTAGATCCGGTTCGGATCGAAAGAAAAGAAATACAGAGGGTTCATCGAACCCTAAACCCTAATCGGGTGATAGAAAGAAAAAGAAAGAAGGGGATTCGAATTCGATTCGGATTATCCTAAAGAACCCTAACCCTAAAGAAATTGGGCGGTCTGGGGGGGAGTCTTACCAGGGCTTCCCCGCTGCCGTCACTACCGCCTCACGCAGGATGGAGCACCCGCCGCCGGCTTGCTGACGCGCGGGAAGAGAATCAAAAGAACAGAAAAAATAAGAACAGTTTAGATCCGTTCGGATCTAGACAAAGAAATAAGGTTTTCTGAACTCTAACCCTAACTGGGTTAAGGAAAGAAGAAGAAGAGGGTTTCAGCCTAGAAGAGAAGCAAAACCGAACCCTAAATCCATGAAAACTCATGGGGAAGAAGAACAGTGAATCGATTCGGCCCTAACCCACCCTAACCCTAATTCCAATCCCCGTCCCCAAATCGGATGAGATTCGAGTAGAAAAGGAGAAATACAGAAGGGGAAAAGGGGAAGAGGGAAACTCAAAGGGACTACCTCGCCGTTGTGCAGAACGGCGCGCGGGGAAAAGAGGGCCGGGCCGTGGGCTCTCCTTGCCATGCTCTGGCCAAAGGGGCGCCGCGGCCAGGCCACTCGACGGTGGCGCGCTCACCCGCTGGGAGCGCGCACACCGGCGAGGGGGCCGGCGACGGCACCGTTGCTCCATTGTTTCGCCTACTCCTCACTCAGTGGCTGGCTCCAGCTGCGCTGCGAAGAGAGAGTGGAGTGAGGCGAAGAGAGAGAGGGCCGAAGAGAATGAGGTTAGGGTTTTCCTCAGGGGCGCGCGGCGTCGGGTTTTTAGCCTCCCAAAAATGGAGCTCGACCGTCGGATCCTGATTGACGGCCAGCATTGTTTCGGGCCGAATAGAGCCCAGGCGGGCAAGAGGAATCCTGGCCCAGGCCCAGGTTGCGGCCTGGGCGCGGGGGAGAGGCGCCGTGAGCGCCACGCGCTGCTGCTGCTGCTGGGCCGCACGCGCGGGCAGGCCTTCGGGCCGAGCAGGCTTCAGGCAGGCCGGATTACTGCTGTCGCAGGCCGGGCCAGAATGAATAGTAAATGATGTTTTGAAGTGTATTTATTTTCAGAAGCATATTTGCATGAATTTTGATCAATTTGAAGATGTAAATTTCTGGTAAAATTACACCAACGTGTTAGATTTTTCAGAGAGTAGAAAAGTACAGTAAAATGCTTCTGAAAAGTATATAAAGAAATTTTGTCAAGTTTTCGCTGCAAAGTTAAAGATGTTGTCTTCTTATTAAATTCAAACCAACGGGAGAATTTAATTTGAAGAGCAGTTATAGCTATTTAGTAAATGATGAAAAGTTTATCCTCCAGTTAAAATTGGAACCAACTGGAAATTTTTTTAATTGGAGGAATAGTCGGTTGATAGTTAAGATAAATTATAATATTATTATTTTCTGACCAACGTTGATGATAACAATATTATAAGTTTATTTATGAGTTTAAGTTTAAAGTTAAATTATGGTATTGTTATTTTCTGACCAACGTTGATGATAACAATATTATAATTTTATGAGTTTTATGATTAAAGTTTAAATCTCTGATGAATTTTGCATCAAAGTGACCAATTTTCAGAGAATAGATAAAGTTCAAGGAATGCTCTTAAACTAGATAAATGTATTTTCATGTTTCCGCTGCAATGAAGTTGATTGTCTTCTAATTAAATTTGAACTAACGGGAGAATTTAATTTTGAGGAGCAGTTCTATGTTTTCAAGATTATTGAATTTCTATACGTTAATTCTATTTCTGTCCAACGGTGATGTGGAATTAATGTAGAAGAATGATGTTTTATTCTATTTCTGCCCAACGGTGATATAGAATAGAACATAAAGTTTTCAAAGTTTAATGAGCATTATTGTTGAATATTTTCAGACAAAAGATCTCCAAGCTTTCATTCTTGAAGGCAGAAAGAGAAATGAGCTGGGTACTTGTGACTCAGATGATGAAATGCCTAATTGCAAGTTATGTATGAAAGAATGCCATTGGTTAAGGGACTGTGTTCTCTTTAAAGAATGGCTTCAAAAGAAAAGAATTCTAAGATATTGATCCAAGAAAAGAGATAGATCAATGAGAGTCTTCATTGAGAAATGTCTTTTATGTACTCTCCGTGAAGAAGAATTTATTTTCAGTTTCACTTATGAGAGTTGTAAAAGTCATATACATGTTTAATTTGACCAACATTGGATTAAACATGTGTGTTAAAAGAATATTCGGATTTATTTCTAAATTTGATGATTGAACACGAGCCAATCCTGGCATTTATGTCGGTTCAAGGGAATTATCTCGCATGGCGGGAAAAGTTTGTGATAGTACCTGCATGGCGGGAAAAGATTGAGAAAATACCCGCATGGTGGGGTAAAGTTGGCGTAGTACATATGTTAACCAATCCTGCATGGCGGGAGAGTTTGGCATAGTACTTATCCCGCATGGCGGGAGAAGGATGTGATGACTCATGTGCTCTAAGTGTATCCCGCACATGGAGAGAAGTTTGAGGTAGCTTTTATGCTATCCTAGTATTGACCGTACACTCTGATTGTGTCATGGTCATTAAGTACTCAATGAGTTTAAGAACAAAAGAAAGTTGCATGTGAACCAAAAGATAAGAATGATATGCAAGCATGACTTGCAGAAGTATTGATAATAATAGACTATGTTGAGTTTTGAAGTGTAATGAGAAAAATGTACTCCCATACGAATTTTGTTTGCATGATGTAATCATGTGGATGAAGTAAGTAATCAAAGTTTCCTCATTCACAAGAGTTCTGAATGTTTCGAAATTGTGGTAAAAAAAGTTCATACCACATTTCGAGGGGGAGAAATGTAAGATTGATTAAGAAAGACAATTAAGAAAGATACTTCCCCATACTTCAGATAATGCAATGCATACTATGCATTGAAGGTAAAAGTAATCTATAAAAGATGATTGTGATCGTTGAGGGAGTAAGACGGTCATAATAACGATACCCCTAAAGTAAAGAAATAGCTAAATTCCTGGACCTTTTTATAGTTTCGATAGGAAGATAGCATAGTCAGCTAGTATTTATACTAGACGAGTGCAGAGTTATCAAGGCGGTGCTAAACGCGCCATATGAGTTTTTTAGCAGATTAAACCCAAAATAAGAAATTTGAAGATACACCATCTTTTCAAAAGATGGAGTAATCTGGGGGAGCATGGTATGTAGATACCTAAGGCTTGAATAGAAGTGGGATTACATATCCACTACAGTGTTTTTTAGAGCAACAAATTGCCTTATACATGCTGATGTTGTATGACATATACAACACCAGATGTTAGCTCTTAAAGAAGATGAATAAGTAAAGAAGGATCTTGTGATATAGGAGGCTATAGAACAATTGCCTTTTGGCAATGAAGAGTAACAATAGCCCCATATGAAAGAAGTGCCACGAGGCCCCAGAAGGTCTCAAAGAATAAGAAAATCAGATATTTCGGGCGACTAAGAAGTCAATGTTAAGAAAGAAATTCAAATAGAGGATATTTTCACCTCATTTGAAAAAGCCATGAGAGGCGTTCACTCGTCTAAATGGCAAGAAGCAAAGGAAGATGAAATGAAATCGATAAATACCAACGATGTTTGGGACTTAGAAGTAATTCCCAATGGAGCCAACACAGTAGGCTGTAATGGGTCTACAAGACAAATGTGACTCCAAAGGAAATATAAAAAGCTATAAAGCGCCACTTGTGGCGAAATGATTTACACAAAGAGAAGGAATAGATTATAATAAGCTTGCAAGGATTCTTTTATAATCATAATGGTATTAGTGGCACATTACAATTTACAGTTACATCAGAAGGATGTAAAGACACATTCCTCAACGAGGATTTGTATGGAAATGTTTACATGGCATAACTCAAGAGATTTTGTCGTGGAAGGAAAAGAACGTAAAGGGATGTTGCCTAAAGAAATCCATTTATGGATTAAAGCAAGCTTCAAGACAGTGGTTCTTGAAGTTTGACAGTACAATAAGAAAGTTTAGGTTTTAAAGAGAATGTAGAGGACAATTGTATTTATGCAAAGTTTAAACATGGGAAATTTATTTTCCTAATCCTGCATGTGGGTAGCGCCTTACTCGCTAGTAGTGGTGTTAATCTACTGTTGGAGAAGAAGCAGTTCTTGTCCTCAAGTTTCAATGAGAATGGTCTTGGTAAAGCATCATTCGTTCCAGGAATTGGAACTTACCGAGATAAAAGAAAAAGGGGTATTAGAACTATCTCAAGTGTATACTTAGAGAAGATTTTAAAGAAATAAAGTATATATGTGAATAAACCTGCGCCTGTTCCTATAGTCAAGGGTAATAGTTTTTGGAACTTTCAGTGTTCCAAGAATAAATGTGAGATCGATCAAATGGACGTCCTATATGCTTCAGCTGTTGGAAGCTTACTGAATGCTTATAAGCAAGAACTTACCCTTACACAGTTTATGTATCCGAGATGTTTTTGGCAGAAGTCCAGTCCAGATATAGATCACTGAAATGGAGTTGAGAATGTTTTGCAATTGTGCAAGGATTTATAGGCCTCATGGTGAGTAAGAAAGAATAAGTACTCTCAAATAGTTGTGGGTACAAAAGTTAAATTTTGGCTAGATGTTTAGTGAAACCCACATAGTAGCTAACACTCGCAGTTGGAGTTTTATTGTGGAAAAGCTCCAAAGAAACAGTTGTGGTGTCATCAAAGATGCATAACCATGATATAGCTTGTTATGAGGCTTAAGGACAGGCGAAGTGGTTAAAAGAACTTACACCCGGAATTGATAATGGTATACAACAGCAATAACCATTTAAGTAGTTCGCTCCTATAACAACGGGTCAAGTGTGCTGCCAAACACATTGACGTTAAAGTTGTACGTTGTGAAGGAGAAAGTCCGGAATCATACTAAAAGTATTGAACATATAAGTAACAAGCAAGTGCTTGCGGATCCGCGTACAAAAGGCTTACCACCCAGTGTGTTTGGAGAACACACAGTCGACATGGGTTTATGGTATAGCCTATGATTTCCGGACAATAAAGGGCCCAAAGTTAAAGAATCTATTTCAGAACAGAGATGTGTATTGTAGCTGTTAAGTCTATCGGCGATTGACCGCGACGATGAAGCATGCTCTATGCACTAATCTGTGATAGAACAAATAAAAGTGAAAAGGATTAAAGTCAGTTTAAAGTTAAAGTATGAGTTGAGATCAAGGGGGAGAATGTTGGTTTGATCTCCCAACCACAGTGGCCCAACGACCACTTGGGCCTTAACCTCACGCCCTGATCGGGGGCGCCCAGTCCATCTATGGCTGGCGGGCCCCCGTCACACTGCGCATTAAATAGAGGTGGGGTCGGCGGCTCTCAGTACGAGGTTCACCTGAGCCGTACGCCCCACCTAGAAACCCTACTCCGATCTAACAGAGGGGCACAGCCAGTGACGGGAAGCACCGCCGCCGCCACTGCACTGCGCCACCACGGTCTTCACCGCTACTCCGACCGTCGCTGCCATGTGCAGATCTTCATCGATGAACCAGCGAAGGCAGGGAGCTCCTCCGATGGTCAGATGCTCCTACTCTCTCTCTCTCTCTGTCTCCTACTCCCAAAGGAAGCTCTAGGTGTATTTGATTCAACTGATAAAGAAATCACCCACTGTATCCGCATCTAGATGATCCAAAGTAATTAACACACCAAGCCACACCGCACGTACGCGGTGAGCATGCAGTTCCACGCTGCCACCGCCCTAGTTGACATTTCGTCGAACACCTTACTGGCATCCCCGAGCTGCCGGGACGCCGCGTACACGTCGATGAGGCTGGTCATCACGTGCCCACTCTCGCTGGCCAAGGCGAGCATCCCACTCTCGAGCACGCGGGCGTGGAGGGCGCGGCCGTGGGGGAGCGCCCCGGCGCCCGCGGGGGTGATAGCAGAGAAGACAGTGGAGAAAGAGAATGCGTTGGGCCACAGCCCGTGGCAGCCCACGAGGCGGGAGAAGAACGCGAGCAGGGCGCCGGGCGTGGCGCCTGACGCTGCGGTGGCGCGGAGGAGGAGGTTGGCCAGGGTGGGGGACGCCGGGGAGGGTGGTACGGAGAGGAGGAAGAGTGACTCTGCGCGGGGGAGGTCGGCGGCGGCGGCGGCGAGGGAGAGGATCTTGGCGAGGAGGAAGCGCTTGTGGGTGAAGCCGTTGAGGAGGAGCTGCGCGTGGAGCTGGTCGAGGCCACGACGGATGGCAGAAGAGGACGGGGAGTGGCTGAGGTGCTGCGCAACGAGGAAGAGGCGCTGCTGCAGCGCGCGGGAGTATGGGATGTGCCGGGGCAGGTTGAGCGGAAGGAGGGCCCGGCGGCGAGGGTGATCGCTCGGCATCTCTCCGCCCGCTTGCTTCTGGCCCGGCCCCTAGGAATGATACGAGTTTCGTTAGCTGACAAACATTTTTATTGCAATTGAAAGTTTGGTGACCTATAAACATGTTTATTGCTATAATTTGTCATTTTTTATAGTATGCCATTTCATGATTTCTCATTTCTTTGACAGAAAATTAAGTGTTTGCACACTTAGTTAAACGAAGAGACTAGCGCCTCGATGTCTGTACGTCCGCGCTCGCTGCCCGTCCGTTTTCAATAATGATACCTTAGGACGTCTATTATGGATGCTGCTTTGTGTTTCGTTTCGCCTCATGCTCCTTCGTGCTCCACGCTTGCTGCCCACGCCCATGGATACAACTTTGTGCTTCGTGCCTACTAGCGCGCCCGACTCACTTCCCGCACGCACGCGGGGACCACTGTGCCTGAGGGGACCACCTTCGCTGTGCCCCCCTTGCCACGCTTGCTCATGAAACACTTACAACATAAAAGCATTTGCTGCAACATACATCCGAAACAGATGAAACATTTGCAGCATATGATTGCAACATATGTGTATGGGCACTGCGACATATGTAACATCCAGATAAAACACGTGCAACATATATGTTTAAAACATCTGAAATATTTGAAACATACACTTGCAACATACGTGTATAGCCAGTGCAATATATGCAACATCCAGATAAAACACTTGTAACATACGTTTGAAACAGCAGAAACATTTAAAACATACACTTGCAACATACGTGTATAGTCATTGCAACATATGCAGTACCAGATCTACTTTTACAATATCCAGATGAAACATACGGTTGCAACATGTGCTCATCACTTGCTGCCCCTAATGGACACTTGTTGATACGGAGCTTGAGGCCGGCACATAGGTCAATGCCATGACACGGAGGTCAGACCTCGGCTATGCGCAGCGTGAGGCGCGAGGCGTAAGCGGAGCGCAGTGCGAGGCACGGGCGACACAGCGCAACGCGAGGCACGAGGCATGAGACGCGAGTGGGGCGTGCGAGGTGCGAGTACAGGCAGGTCCGTCCCATCCGGCCAGACGGACGCTCGGTAGAGAGCATTGGTCTTAATTAAAGGAGTCACTCAGCACTATACGTCTATACTTGCCAAAATAGGCCCTGTTCGGCTTGCTGAAACTTGACTGAATTGGCTGAAAACACTGTTTTGGCTAAATTGTTGTGAGAGAAAATACTATTCCGACTGAAAAACAAGCTGAATAGTGCAGATTATAAGGTAAGCCGAACGGGGCCATAGTCTGTTAATCCGTTTAAACATTGTGTAAACTTGCGATATGTCATTTTAGTTTAACCAGCTGCGTATCCTATTTAATTAACCATTCATCCCATCTAATGGATTGTTAAACATAAATAATGGCTAAACGGTAAGCATAAATAATGGCTAAACACTAAGGCCCCGTTCGCTTGTATGGAAAAAAGAAGCCAAAACACTATAGCGACTGGTTGTGTGAGAGAGAAATACTGTAGTGGCTGGTTGATAAATAGTATCGCTGTGAGGAGAAACCAGCCGGCTGGTCTGGAAACCAGCCAAGCGAAGGGCACCTTAGTGTTTCAATTTTTTTTATCTAGTTAGGGCCCATTTAGAAAGATAAATAGTAATGCACATGTGCAACTAACGTCGTAGTGTCCAAATTCCTCACCGGCACCTTTTTAAGGGAATTGTCATATTTTGTAAGGTGTATGAGTTTTTAGGCAACAATTTTACACAATCAACTAGTTCAATTAAAAATCAAAATAAGTAATTTGTAATTTTTTTATAGCGAAGCAATGATAAAATTACATATTGTCTAACACAACAAAAAAAATCAAGCACCAAACATATAGAAGAAGTGTTAGTTTGATGGATGATCTGAAGAAGTCTTAATGCTCAAATTCCTAATGAGTACGTGATATTTCAATATTTGTCATTAAATTCGCATGTATTTCATGATTCAGTTGTGAGTGTCTTGGGTACAGAGTTTGTCTGCTAGTTCCTGGCCTTTGGGTAAAGCATGCTGTTGTAACTCTGCTATCCTCTGGTCATCACTTCCTTGATGTAAAAAGTGGAAAGCCTGCTGGAATAAAAGGGAGTAGCAGGTTTGTTTATGGAGCCTCTTGTCCTTTCAGCTATGTATCTCCTTGGTTTGTGCCTGATTGCTTTCTGGGCTATCCATACAGGGTCTACATGATAAAGCTGGATAAGAGAAATCTGCTACAGTTCGTTCAATGTGTGTGTGTGTGGGGTGGGGGGGTGGGGATAACTGACCTGATGGTAAAGTTTATACAATCTGTGCACTTAAAATCATAGGTTATAAATCCTGAGTTTGTTAGTGAGGAAAAGGAATATGCGGCTGCTGAATTCATCAGGGTGATCTTCCCTGATATATCAGCGGGGGAAGCTGCTATGTTGGTCGCTATTTGCAGAGGGGACAACCTAGAGCCTGGGCTTCGTGCTATTGTTCAACAAATGTCGTGGCACTGAAAATGAAGTTGGGTGTTCTTGGTAAGTGCCGTGATATAGTGTTCAGTATCATCGTGGACAACCAAGATCTCATTGCAAATTCTCAGGTTCAGCAAGGTGTTAGCAAGCGGCGTAGGGATGTTTGTGATCAGTCATCCCTCAACCTGACGGGTCCTCATGGCGAGGCCCATCAGGAGCAATGAATCTATTAAGCTGGAACTGCCGAGGACTGGGACTCTTTCGGACAGTTCAAGAGCTTGTTGCTCTTGTTGGAGCAAACAGTCCCCGCCTGGTGTTTTTATATGAAACTAGAATGTCAGGCGTTCGTGCTGAGAATTTGAGGTGGAGATTGGGATTGAAACATGTTGTTGTTGTTGATAGTACTGGTACAGGTGGTGGTTTGGCTTTGTATTGGCATGAGTTGGTTGATGTGCATTTGATTGAAAAGCATAGACGTTTCATTGATGTATATGTGCGTGAATCGAGTTCTTCGCCTCGGTTCCGCATCACTTTTGTCTATGGTGAAACCCAGAATGGAAGACAGACATTTTATGTGGGAGTTGATGCGAAGGCTGCATGGGGCATCGGCTGAACCTTGGATGCTTATTGGTGATTTTAATGAAGCTATGTGGAGCTATGAACATTTCTCAGCTTGCCAGAGATCGAAACGACAGATGGCTGCATTCCGAGATGTGCTTGCTGACTGTGGCCTGACAGACCTTGGCTTCGTGGGCTTGCCTTTCACATATGATAATGGAAGGGAAGTGCCGAGTTATAACCCCGGGGTGTCTCAAGGCACCGATTAGTTAGCAGGCCACGCGGCCGCAACACAATGGCTAACAAATGCCCGAATGACCGAGGTCCAACGAAAGTCAAGCGGAGCGGGCCAGGCGCCGAGGTCGAGGTCATCCCTGACCCCTTTCATCCGCCTTAACATACAACACTCGCAAGATGCATGACCTCTCCCTGTCATGACCCCCGGGAGGGATGGAGGGAGGTCGAGCGCAGCTAGGCGTGCCTGTTCTAACAAGAGCAAGCATGCCGCATTGACCCCGCAAGGATTGAGGGGACAACAGTCACCTCGACCGGGTCAGACACCATCCCTGTGCCATGCCGCACCGACAAAACAACACCGCACCACAGTGGCAATGGGTATGGCACCCATTGTCCAAATATGGACCGACTAGATGCTTGTACGATCCCACCCACTACGGGATGGGGATCCACGACAAGAGACTCGACAAAAAAACCATCCAGAACGGTAGAGCACCTTGACCCGACGATCAAGGTCGTGGTCCTCGGCCCCGTAAAGCAATTGAGTGATCGATGACCCAGGGCAGCTACCTAGTTTGGGTACGATGTCCCTAGGAACCAGGAGACGATGACAAAGGCTCCGATGGACACCGCATTGCACAGGATGGCTGATGAACCACCATCGAGGCTACACCGCATTGCACAGGACAACTGATAGAAGACCATGACGATAGACATGACCAGACGTGCACCAGAAGATGGCGTAGCTTGCAAGCCAAGTTAGCTAGGCCCTCCCTTAGGCTCTCGACCCTTTGGTTGGGAGAACCTCCTCTTTGTACAAGCCCTAACCCCAAACTCTATATAGGGGCAGCTAGGGCACCCATCTTGGGGGATGATTCATATCCTCTATCATTCCATTCATTTACCATTGTAGTAGGGCTCCTAGAGCTTCTCTTCGGGCAGCCCTTCGCCTAGCATAGGTCCTTCCGTCTCTTCCACCTTTCTTGCACCCCCCATTGTAAGAACTTCAGAGCATTCAAGCAAGGAACATGCACTCGATCATCTTTGAGACTAGACGTAGGGCTCTAGCCTGAATCGGTATAAATCCTCATGTCTATTGGTTGCTACCATCGTCTTCCTAGAGCAACGCGACAATCATATAAGTTTACTAGTCTGGTTTACAAAACACCGACAGTTGGCACGCTAGATAGGGGATAGTCGTGCACTCTCATTTGTTGAGAAGGAAGTGAGGGCTCCTCGCACTGCCGATGGACTCGCTGGTGGAATGGCCCATGGCGGCCACATCCACCGCAAAAACTATGAGTTCATCAGCATTAAAGGGCCAACACCTGTGATCGCCCGCTGGCTACGACCCAAACCTCTGCCATAGAGATCTGGGACATGTAGCCCGCAGCGGACACACTCTTGGAACTACCTTCGGTGGCAGCATCCTGAGTTCACCTACCTAGAGGGGCCAGTAACCTCGCTCACCACCGACCGCGGCCAATCTTCCCATTTGGGAAACTAGAGGTCCACGGCTCGCAATGAACTCGTGCAGAGAATGGCCTCAATCAGCCACATCCTTTTGGGGAACCATGTGGTTAACCGCACCAAAGGGCCGACGCATGCGTCCGCCCTTAGTTGTGACCCAGACCTCCATCTCAAAGGTCTGGATCCCGCAATCCACGGTGGACACTCTCAGAACTGCCCTTGGGGGCTGCATCCCGAGTGCACCCACGTGAGGGGCCTAGTGCCCTCTCTCATTACTGGCCA